CTATTAAATTACGAGTAATTTATGAATTAAATAAACAGAATATAAATTTCGATAACTTTAATACAATCAGAAATTAGAAAAATAGTAAAAGTAAAAATTAGAAAATAGCAAAATTTCAGAATATTTCATTTCAATCCACACGTAATTTCATGAGACTTGATTTGAGTCATCTTACACATATGATACAAAACTGATGTATGAATCATCCCACAGATAAAATGGATTCATGAATCATCTAAGGTCTATGAACTTTTGAATGTACTTGAAGCTTGTGTGTCAGATTTGTGCATTTCTTTATTCATAATTTTTTATTTTTAAAGAAAATTAAATGTTTACAAAATTTAAATTAGATGCAAAATGTTTGTAGTAAAAATTATTACTAAATAACTATTTCTCTGTTATGTATATCATTGCTTCCAACATTTATTATCTTTCCTATTTGTAATTTTTTTCACACCCTTTTTAAAATCCTATCTATATTTAATTCCTCTTTCCTAAAAAAGAGATCTAGTATTTTATCTAGAATAATTAATTACGTGAACGCACATGTTTAATCCATAATAAATAACCGTATTGTATACAGATGTGCAACTTTCGACTTGTTAGCTAGTTTGACTTGACATGCAATTACTACTACAAAGTAAATGCATTAACACGGAGCTAGAAGCGTGTTCGATAACCAAAGTTTATTTTTACTGTGTCTAAGGATTATTTACAAGTTCGGCCACATACCGATTCAATTTCCGTGTTGAATTACGTTTATCGGCAATGGCATCGAGAACGATCGTGTGAATCCATTACAACTCCAACGGCATCGTTATCTATTTTCACGCAGATCTACGAGCCTAGATCTACAGTTGATCTTTGTTTCAATCTGAAACGTTCTGCGCTGGTTATATTAAGCTGTTAAATGTATTTAACTATCAAAACATACTTGATAAATTCAATTCTCCACAGAAGTTAATTTTCAGAAAATATGAAAATAATATTGCTCAATAGATTTTTTTATTCTTTGATCAAATAGTAAATAATCTTTTTCTCTAACACAAATATTTGAAATAATTTTTATTGCACTTGTATTTGTATATTAAATTCAGATATTTAAAGATAAATTTCAAATATGTAAATGTATTTATTTTAATAATTTAATATTTTATTGAATATATGATTTGCACAAATAATAATTTTATAATAACAGTAATTAATAATAAATATACTTTTTGTTTTATTTTTTTCTCATGTTATATCTATATAAAAAATATATTATAATAACACAAATAAGGTTATATACGTAAATTTTTTCTTTTATAAGTCATAAATGTATTTCATATGAGAATTGCTTCATTAACTGTGCGATGAAATTCTGTGCTAACATAAGAATTCCGACCATTTCATTCCGTTCTCTTCTACCAATTTCAAGCACATATTAAAATGATACTCACGTAAAGTATGACATTAGTGATATTAACCAGAATTAATACGCTGCAAAAAACGTGACGGTGTTTAGAATATACAATGTATTTTAAATATAGGAAAACATGAATATGCAAAGATACGTATACTCGATCGACGCATAAGCAAATTGAACATGAACATAAATATGAATCTAAAGCGAAAATGGATTATAAAATATAAAAAAAGAAACGCGAAAAATCAGAATTCAAATTTATTTGAAAAGAGATATTAATGATATTATATGAAATGATATTATAATATCTGATTTTAATAAAAATAAAATATATTTTAAAAAGATGGCACCATTTATCGATTCTCCATTTTTACAGCAATCATTGATTAATCTTTATAAAAACATTTGTATTAAATAATTATAATATAATTATTTTAAACTTTATTTTTTATTTGTTCATGTTCACAATTTAAATCTCAATTGAATTTTTATACTAGTATAATATTTTGATGACTGCTTTATTCTTGGTAGGTGTCGTTAATAGAGGAGATTCCTTTCGGAAAAGAAGATCGAGATCGAATTCTCTAGCACCTGCTGACCAAGAAACTGAGGAACGGCGACTGCCGCCCAAGGAAGTAGTTTCGCACAATGTTGCTATGCTAGGTACAAGGGGAGTTGGAAAAACTGCTCTTATCAGTCAGTTTATGACCAGCGAATGTATAAATGCCTATGATAGACAAAAAGGTGAGTTTTATGGAAGATTTTATAATATGAAAATACGATAAGTATAATGTGTTTTATTTTACTGTACAATATTGTGTGAAGATTGTATAAAAAGTATGCTATTAAGTTTCAAAATATATGCTCGTTCTACAATCTTTAATAATTAATAATTCATTACTAATTGTGAAAATCGCAAAAGTACAGGACTTTTTTGCTCAGTTTGATTTGCACACAAGCGATATATCATTAGGAATCAGATATGTTGTATGTAAAAATGTTTAAAATTTTCTTAGAATTTATTTTTTCATAGTAAAAAGATTAGTGAATTTGATTAAAAGCAAATTTACGGACTTTGGAAATATGTCTTCTGATTGTGAATGAATAAAAAAAATTTTCTTTGATTGTCATTATTGAATTAATTTTACTTTGACTATTCTAAATGTTAATTACTAAAATGTTTAAAGAACAAAAGAACAAAGTACCAAAAAAACATAAAGAAATATGTTCTTTCTCAACAAAATTTTTAATAAAAAAATTGATTTTAAAACGCAATAAAAAAAGACAATAAAAACTTGTGATATATTGAACGAGAAAAATTTCCATAAAACTTATTATTAGACTTTTACTACTGTTACTACCATTGGAACGACTATTAATCCTTCGATAAGCGAAAGTGCAGAAAATGCAATAAGAGGATTTGTAAATATCTTGCTCAGAAGAAGTAGGATTAAGACTTTCAATAGAATGTTTTTATTACCATTCATATAAACGCAACTACCACATGGAAGAGATTGCAGGAAGGAAATCGTTTCTCGATTGATTCTATGGCAAATAATCTTTGCGACTTCCAACCATTTACACTTCGCGTGCGGCACGATCGTCTCGTTATATCGTGTGAGTTTACGCGACGGTCTCTCGTGTGTATTTCGATAGCATGCCCAATACGACGTCAGGCTCCGACAAGAAGCGCGCAGTTCCGGCTCTCTAAGCTCCTTGGGATACGCGCTATTCTCTGTGAATGAGTTGAAAGTGGAGCGACACTTAAGTTGATATCTTGAGACCAACTATGTCAAGCAGATACTTGACAGAAAAAAGAACGAATATTTCATGTCTGACCATAATCTTCTCTCCTTATGTGTGTGTGTTATATATGTGTTTCCACTTCATAGAGTACAATACTGATTTTCCTCATCCAGTATTGAAATATGAAATATTAGAAATATAACAAGTATATATATATATATATATATATACTTGTTATTATTTCGTT